CTCTTTAATAAATGGTGTTGGAAAAACTGGATGTCAACCTGCCACAGATTAAAATTAGACCCTTATCTTTCGCCATGCACTAAATTAAAATCCAAATGGATTAAAGATCTAAATATTAAAACAGAAACATTAAACTTGCTGGAAGGTAAGTTAGGCAGAACTCTGGAAGACATTGGTATAGGAAAAGACTTTATGAACAAATCCTCAGTAGCACGGGAACTAGCAGTTAGAATCAACAACTGGGATCTCATCGTACTAAAAAGCTTCTGTACTTCAAAAGAAACCATCAGCAGAACTAAGAGACAATCTACAATGTGGGAAAAAATTTTTACCAGCTGATCCTCAGACAAAGGACTATTATCAAGGATATATAAAGAACTAATTTTTTTCTTAATTATGTAAATATGTACTCTTGAATATTCTCAAATGGTCAATATATTTATCAGGTTTTTTTTTTTTTCTTTTCCTAGAGATCTTGTCTTTCTCAACTCTTGATATTCTAATCACATCTAGATTGGTTATTTTTAAGCTTAGCACTTCACTATCATTTAGGGATACCTTCTCTCTTGCCTAGCTTCTGATACTGCAGTCTCATCCTTTTTTTAGTATACGCCTTAATTTGTGCAATACTTAGCTATGTAAGAAAATAATACAAGGTAGACCATTTTTTGAATATTTGACTGCAGGTGTAGTTTATCTGTTTGATAGTTTGGTTTTAGTTCACTGTGTAAGAAAATGGTACAAGGTGGACAATTTCTTGAATATATCTTTGTCTGCAGGTGTAGTTTATCTGTTTGGTAATTTGATTTGGTTTCAGTTAATGTGTAAGAAAGGAGTACATGGTGAGAAATTTTTTGCGTACTTTGTTTAGTCTGTTTTCCAGTTTGGGTTGGTATAGAATTCTAGGATAAATAATGTTCTGCAGTTGTTGAGAAATCTGATGGTATTTTCCTTTTATGTGTGTGTGCTCTGTTTTTCGTTCTGGAAGTTGATGAAGTCTTTCTTGTCTCCAGTACTTTTTTAAAGATTACAATAGTGCTTCCTAACGTGGAGGGGGGTTTTTGTTTGTTTTTTGCATTGAATGTACATGTTAAACCTAAAGCTTAGACGTCTTGAGTTCATGTTCTTTGGAGAATTAGGCTTCTGCCCAGGAACATGGTTTTACCTAGCGTGTGTGTGGGCGCACACGTGTGCGTGCATGCACATAGAGCATATATTCACTGGAGCAGCCTACCTTTGCTGTGTAGCCCATCAGCCAGTCATTTTTTCATTGTTTGCTTTATCTCCATCTTGCGTACTTGGTACCCTTAGTCATTAGATTTCTTGGGAACTTTTCAGGACAAAACTATTTGCTTCTTTTTGGTACTATATTTCCCTTTGGGAGTCTTTCAGTTTCCTCTTTCACATTTGCCTCATTGATTGAAATTTTGTCTGCTGATCCCCCAACCCCACCCCTCTTTTGCCATTTCCAGAATACCTTAAAAGTGAAAATGGTTTTCCATTGGTCATTTTTGTCTTACACTGAGAAGACCATTTATTGAGGGTTTCTCCCTCTCACCACCACCACCACCACCACCACCACCACCACCAGGGATCAAACTCAGAACCTTACACTTGCCACGCAGGCGTGGTGCCACTGAGCTGTATCCCCAGCCTGCATTTATTACGTTTTAAAAGGATAGACATTTGAAAGATAGAATATACTTAAAATAAAGGTAGAGGTTTTAACAGCTAATTCTCATCACTGGTTATATATTATTTTGTAGTTCTTTTTAGCAACTGTGGGCAATTACATGCAAATAAGTGAAACTTTAAGAATGTCATTTATTGTGAGTTGACTACTTGGGTTACAGGTCTGGGCCTATATACTAATTCACTAATTCAAGAAGTAAGTTGTGTTCTTCTCATTTCTTTCTAGATGTGGTGGCACAGTGGGAGCTATTCTGACATGTCCGCTAGAAGTTGTGAAAACACGGCTGCAGTCGTCTTCTGTGACACTGTATATCTCTGAAGTGCAGCTGAACACCATGGCTGGAGCCAGTGTTAACCGAGTAGCGTCTCCTGGACCCCTCCACTGCCTAAAGTGGGAGCACAACCTTCATAAGTTGTTATTTTGTTTTCATTTTAGTTTACCTTGATTCCCACATTTGTTCACATTCTGCCACATTTTGAGAGATTCTTAGAAACTGACTGGTTACTCTGAATTATATGCATTAGAAATGGTAATCCATAAGAGAGTAGAATCATTAGGAGGCTAATACAAAATGTAATATTATTTCCAGATCATATATTTAGAGTACTATACTTTTCTACATTTATCCAATAAATTTCTCAAGCTGCTATAGGTATTTTATTTTGGATTGTTTTTTTCATTTATTTCTGAAATGAGGTACTGTTAATGCCAACTCTGTGGTTTTAGTTTTCTAAGTTCTTCCATAAGTAATTACATTTAACAGTTGCAGTCTGTGGTTTTTATATAACCTAAACCTAATTTAAAACAGAATTGTATTGATTTTAAAATGCTATTCAGTGGCTGTTTGACATTTTCTGTTGGCTTGAAAAGATTTGCTTTTACATTTTACTATACTTCTTTATGTTGTAATAGGATTTGAAGTTTCAAAACTACTAAAATCAGATTTTACATGTTTAAACTTACGTGTATGACTGTATAACTATGTCTGCTTTATCAGCTCAATTGGACTTAATCTGTTTGAACTTAGTCCATTAGTGTTTATTTTGTAGAAAATAAACTTAGTGTGTTTACCTTCACTTCCAAGATTTCATCACACTTCTTTCAAACTTGGTTACCTAAGCACATGAATAGGTAGAATAAATGGTTGACAATTTTGAATTAAAATGCCATCATTCTAGATAAATATTTCAATATGCTTAGTAATAGAAAAGTATTTTAATATCATGATTTTGACAGTAATTACCACTGATTAGGTATCCATAAAATGCTTCACTTGACCTCTGTGATATATTCTTTTGTCTTAGTTTTTAATAGTTTTGCTTTCTGTTCTCCACAGAACTTGAAAAATCCCCTTTAGGCCCCATTTTAGTTCCTTGTTTTTTTTAAGCCCTCTTTTAAGCTCTTTATATATTTAACCCTCACAGCAGCCCAAGGAAGAGTTACTGTTTCTCCTATTTACTGCTGAAATTAGGATGAGTGAAAAGTTACTTTTTAAGTCATTTACCAGCATTGGGCTTCATAGTGAGAAGGCTCATCCTCTTTAGCCATTGTGCTCACAGAGATCTTTCTTAACCATAGGGGTGTTTGAGTATCATTTGGCCTACCTAGTCTGTTAACTATAAACTAAATTATCTCTCTTCAATTTCTTCTTTTCCACCTTGAAATTATTGAATAACTTAACTCTCAGAAAATATTCCAATACTAAAACATACTCGTTTTAGGGAGAGGGCTAGGATATATGTATCTAGCTTGTACAGTATTTGCTTGTTAATATGGTCTATTAAATTATTTCAGTATTTTTTTTCACAACTGGACAACAAAGTTCTCAATGTTAATGTTTGCTCTCTTCCTAGTCATAAAGAGTTCTTTATTGTAGTACATGAAATGCTCAATATAGTGAATGTTAACTGAGTGGAAGAAGAAATGATAAGCCAACCATTCTAGTATCCTGAAGAATGTTAGAGCAATAGATTTTTGCTATAGCATTTCACTGGAATAATTGAATGACATACTATTGTGGTACTGAGAATGCTTCTAGTATGAAGTAAAAGACCTTAGGAAGAAATTATGTTTCTGATTGGAAATTGAATTCGTTAATAAAGACAGTAAAATTGAGTCAATTTGAGATAACAGTAACATGATCATATGAACATACTTATAAATCTGTGCAGTGATGTCTTTAATCTTTTAGAAAAGATTTTGAACAAAACTTTATTATCACTATTAAGTCTGTTACCAGTCTTCGATACATTATGGCAGGTCATGAAGAATTTTCATAAGTAAGGAAAACTGGCTAGGAAAGTATATTCTATTACAAATGTGGAATTTAGTGTTAATCTTTACTGTGCTAAGTAAATAAAGTACTCTTTGTAATATTTTTTCTCTTTCAGAATAATCTTGGAAAAAGAAGGGCCTCGTTCCTTATTCAGAGGATTAGGCCCCAATATAGTTGGGGTGGCCCCTTCCAGGTAAGAAAAAATACAGGTTAAACAAAATTATGGCAGTTTTTGTTTCAAGGCATCTATATTTAAACATTTATATACACTTCTACTTATAAATCAAATTTTCAGTGTTTATGGGAAGTTTAAATTTGATTTTCTTTTCAAGGATTTCAGATGCTAACCAGAACACATTTGTAAAGTAATGTTTGATAGCACAGAATCATTCTACATGTTTTGGAGCTTAACAATTTCAGTACTGTTAGAAATTAACCATTATAACATGACAGGCGGGGATACTAACCACTATACTACCGAGGAACCATTAACCATTATAATATGAATGCAGTGAAATGTTCTATACTGTGATGGAAATAACTTTTTAAATTCTGTGGATGACTTGAAATTTTGGGGGGCAATATTTTTCAAAATTGAAAATAGTGTAGATAATATATATCTTTATATTGGATTATGTAGGCAGTATTAAATTAGTAATGTTTGCAAAATAAACCTGTAAATTCCCTTGTAGCTAGTGGCTACATATTGAGCCTGCCTAGAAGAACACTTCTGACCTTAAGAATTAGAATTAGGGAGAGGGCACTTGAAAATCTTTATTGCTAAGGCAGTAAACTACACATACTGATGTGTTTTTTTTTGTTTTTTGTTTTGTTTTGTTTTGGGGGTTTTTTTTTGGTACTGGGGATTGAACTTGGGCCCTTGCGCTTGCAAGGCAGGCTTCCGAACCGCTGAGTTAAATCCCCAGCCATACTGATGTTTTGAGATGGGTGTTTGATGGTTTTTGTGAATTTGAACCAGCTCTTACATCTTAAAACTTTTGTCTTTAAGAAAAAAACAAGTATTTTTTAAAGCAGAACTTTCCCTGCGGCTAAAGGCATAATATTTAAGATATGTATCCCTGGTCTTTCTGCTTCAGATAGCTATCCTGCTCTGTACTCTGCCCGAAATTAATGCTTCTTTCTGACTTTCCACATAGAAATTAAACTTCAGAGAAACAAGATGGAAAAGTGGAACCAAAGAGCTAGGAATAGAGACAGGTGTTAGAACAGGCTTGAAAAGAGGACAAGAAGTCTAAAATAATGGAAATTTGTCCTTCATTAAAGGGCAATAAGAGATACCCACAATATCTGCCATAGTAAAGGAAGCTCAAGGAAGGAAATACTGAAGAGAATCATGTTGGCTGCCAGTATGTTTTAACAGTAACCACCCAAATCGATGACCAGATTGAACCAGGCAGGACAAAGGACCTCCAACATTTGTGAAGCAGTTTTTGCACCAAGTTCAAAAGGCAAAGAACAAATAATTAAAGGAACTTAGCAGTAATAAATAAGACTAGAACTCTAAAACTAAACCATTTTTTGGCTTTGAATATAAGCTAAACAGACGGAAGTTCCATTTCCTATGAAAGTAGCCAAAAAGACTTGAACATATTACTTTGCCATTTTTATCATTTTATCATAGATTGATTTCATCTATGATAAAACACAGCATAAATTTTATAGAGTGAACATGGATACCTGACTGTCTTTATCCGAACCATGTACCATACACGTGTGTTGTTAATTACTGGATCTCACTTTTTTTATATATTCTTCTTTGTTTAAGAAATTGTCTACCAGCACTCTGGAAGGCTGAAGCAGGAGGATTGCAAGTTTGAGTCTAGCCTGAGTGCCTGAGCAACTGAGATCCTTTCTCAAAATAAAACATTTTTAAGAAAAACTGGAGATGTAGCTCAGTGTGAAGGCCCTGGGTTCATTCCCCAGTACCACCATGAATGAATGAATGAATGAATGAAAAAGATATTGTCTATTTTGCATCCTGATTGTAAAAAATTTTTAAAGTATAAAGTTGGCTATCTTAAACACATTGCCTCTTACCCATATACCTTTCAACATACTCTTCTCATAGATAGGCACTATTAAACAGCATGTGTAGTCACACCATAATTTTCCTGGGTTATCATATGCATTAAAAACAATGTATACTTATAATTATCATTTACATAAATTGTATCTTACTAAATATTTAATATAATTTGTGTTGAAGCTCTTTCACATGATATGTGGGGTGGTTTTCAATTGGAAGGTGTTACTTTCCCATAATTATCCCTTTATTGATATTTTTCAGATTTTTACTGTTAAAAGCAACAGTGGTTTTGTGAACATACCTGAACTATTATCTTTGAGTACTTAAGGACATTCTCTTAGGATGGTTACCTAAAGCAGAATTTCTGAATAAAAGAGCATGTACACATGTAAACTAGAGAATAATTTACTTTCTAAGAAGGCAGACAATATTTTATATTCAGGTAGTGAATTAGTTGGCCTTTATTCTGCATCTTTACCAGTACTGGCAACTATCTGCCCACTTATTACTTGGCAAGTTAACTAAAACTGGTTTGTGGCTGTTTAATGTATATTTGTTTAATGTTTGATACAATTATACCCTCTTTCTTAAAATTTGACATTGTGTGTTTCTACCTGTGAATTGCTTTTATATATTCCATGCCTATTTTCTCATTAGGATGTCTTCATTTCTAGGAATGAATTGTTTATTACTCTTCATATAGTGGCATCAAATGTATCTTGTTTTTATTATAAAGAGGAATATTTTTTCCTAACCACATAAAGAAACAATATTGAAACTTTCCTCATTTGTACTGTACTCTGTCCCTTTTGGACATACAGTTAGAAATAATGGGATATTCATATGCAGGAAAATCAAGAGCCTAGAAAAATTAAACAGTGAGCAGGTAGTGGAAATGTATGAAGTCATAGTAAGTTAACAGGAAAAATATTTACAGATCTACATTTACAAACATTGGAAAACATCTTCTCACCTTTTGTTGGGATTATTGTATCATTTAAGAATACTGTGGGGCTGGGACTGTAGCTCAGTAGTAGAGCACATGTTTAGCATGTGATCCCAGTACTCAAAAAGAAAAAGAATGCTGTGAACTACTCTGTATAATATATAGATTATAGTATACCACGGTATAGCATATACTTTGATTAATTGGTTCAGCTGTACTCTCCTTTCCCCACTACCAAAAAGTATATATTTAAGTGCTCATGGACCATTTACTTATTTAGGTATAATTCTATGGCCTTAGCGTACAGATTTCACAGCCTTACTCATTCATAGGTTTTCCAGTCATCAAAATTTTTGTCAGTTGTTAAGTGATTGTCCAAGTGTTGCACAGGGATGGGTTTGTTTGAAGACAGATGCTAAGAACTTTGCATTTGAGTTTTTTTTTGTTTTGGTTTGGTTTTGGTTTTTTTAATTAGTTGATAAAGCACTTCAGGGTATTTGTGGGGAAAATGTTGGCTAAATTACATGAGAATCTCGCTGTTACGTGAGAATGTAGCTGAGACTGATTTTAGATGAACTTGTATCTACTCTTACGAATTAAAGAACATGCATATTAACAAATTCTCTCTTTTAGAGCAATATACTTTGCTGCTTACTCCAACTGCAAGGAAAAATTGAATGGTGTGTTTGATCCTGATTCTACCCAAGTTCACATGATTTCAGCTGCAGTGGCAGGTATGAATGTATGATTCTAAAAAACGAAAACATTGTGAAGCCCAAAGACTTAATGCCAAATTTTAATGAGTTTATATTAAAAAGTTAAGATGACTAGTGTACTTTTCATTGATTAACATCTGCAAAGATAATTTTATACTTAATTGTATAAAACAAATTTCATTAGCTACCATATATGTAAAATTTGTCATCAGCATTTTATAATTAGGAATTTAAGTAATAGGCTACAGATAATACAATCTTTTATATTGCTTTGTGTAATCCATTGAATAGTGATTACTTTTAACAGCTTTAAGAATCCAACTGTAATTACACTGTAAGTTACAGAGCTGTAATTTACTCTTCTCTCCTCAGTTTCCGTTAGTGCCTTTTCCCTTTTTGCTGCATGTTTTGGCTTCTGTCTGAAATGTGCCAGCAGTTCTTGGTAAAGTATGTGTTTTGTCCTGTGCTCAAGTGCTGAAATTTTTGTGAGTGCTGTGTTATTGATAACTCAAACAGTAATGTGTGTATTTTTGAAAGTATGTGTATTCCATATAAATCAGACTAGATAGCACCTGAATTTTAGACCCTGGCTCTGTGTACATGCTTGTTATAGAAATAATTCCAGGAACTCTTCTGTCATCTTTGATGAGTATATACAATTCTGGAGTAAAACAACTAGTCTCAGGTCTGTGCAGTGCCCTAAACTGTGAGAGATTGGTTTCACCAGTCTGGTTCTGGAATCATTTGCTGCCATGCATGTTAGACAAAGCCAGGAATTTTAGTTCTCAATAGAAAATTCTCTTAATTTTATGAGATTTTTTTTTACATATTTAACCATATCTTACATTTCAAAATTATGCTATGACTTTAAAAGGAGACTATAGCTGCTTTCATCAGTTATTGATCAACAAATTTAACGACACTTACATGCGAAATAACGAGTACTGTAAACGTAGCCATTTTCTTTTTAGAAATTGGATCAGTTTGAACCACATATTTAACAACTCGTTTGTAAGTTTGAAGCATTACTTTCTGAAAGGGTGAAAGTCTTTACCATATAATACTTCTAGCATATACCTTACATTGTTTTGAGAGCTTTTTATATATGGCAGTTTATGACTGACTCATTGATGTTACAAAGCTGGAGGGAAAGGGACAACATTAAAGCCCAAGATAATGAATACTCTGATTTAATAGGAAAATCTTGGGCAAATTAGGTAATTTAAGTGAGCCTCTGTTAGCTTTATTCATAGAGTAGGCTGATCTAGATGCATTAAGATTTTGAGAACTAGTCCTTTTATTTAGTGTGGTAGAGATAATCTAGTTAGGTAGAATTATATTTAATATACTTTTATAGATGTTGAATTAGATATGATTTCCCCCTAAAATTTGTGTGTAATAAGGTACAAGTTGGTGGCAATAACAAATGTATTAACCACTGTTTTAGGATCTTTAAGAATATATTTCCAGATTACCAGTGTTTATGATTTTGGTTTTTAACCTCAGTAAATTATAAAGAAATACAGTGTTACTTTTTTAAAGAAATGAAATCAAGAAAGTATCTAGGCAATTGGCTTTATGTTAAAAAAATTGCTTTATGTTGAGAATATTAAGAATTGTAAATGTAGAGGTATAGGGTATCTTAATTTTTCATTAGAATATCATTTCATTAGAATATGTCATCACTATTTACTATATTTGTATCACATTACAAAGAAATTCAGAATTGTCATTTTGTACTTTTTTCTCAAATGTGTAGCAATACTAACTCAATTTTTTTTCTTTCTATACATTGATACTGTTTTGCAACTTGAATTGCTTGAATTTTGGTAAACTGATAGTTTTATGCTTGTTCAGAGATTATTGCATTGTACACTTAACTGTGTAATTTGAAAATATTTCTTCCATTTGTTTGCAGTTCCATTGTTCTGAGAATTGTGCTTTCAGAGCTTCCTTGCACTATTCATGAGCATTAACATTTAGCTTTGCAGTTTTTTAATACATTTTGATGAAACTGAATGGTCCAGTACAGACTCATGAAGGTAGTCTTTTGCCCCTTCATTTTTAATCTAGACCAGATCGCTCTGGGTCTTCACAATCATTTTTACAGGTGTAAATGTGAATGCTTTGGGGTGTGAAATACTTTCAGATAGTCATGTGGAAAATATTTTAACTGACTATTCAAGAAAAAAATGCTAACCTTGTCACTTGATTATTGAAAATGCACTGAAATAAGCAATTAGCAAAAGTGCCTAGAATATTTTGTCACATCAAGTAGCACACACATTTAGGATTTAGTAAGCTACCCAGGTGTGTAATTTAAATTCCAAGTAACCTCTCAGTTCAGTCTGCGTTTTACAGTGTATCTATACCAACACATTTAATTTAGGTACAAAATCTTAATTTATTAAAAGGACAGTTAAAGTGGGTTTTTTTATTGTTAAAGTGTTATAAGTGAATATTGTGAGAATATAGTACAAGCTTCTAAGATGTAGCTATAAGCTTCCATGCATTAAAACATTTTTCCAATTATGAGGATGTTTAATCAGACAAAGTAATGCTGACTTATATTTTACCTGCCTTTTTTTTTTTTTTTTTTTTTTTTTCCTGCATATAACTTCTGTCACGCTGAATTTACCCTAGCTGTTAAGCGGGTATCTGTTTTGTATCTGTTTGGTTTAAATGAACTTAGATACCCGCTGTATACGCATAGGCACAGATGTGGATAGAAAAAAATTAGATTGTTTCTTTTTCAGTAATTCTGTTTTTACAAGTTTATTTGGCATGTACATGCTCTTTTTATATATAACATAAAGAAAATCTGCTTTTTGTTATGTGTTCATACAGTTGGTGCTCAATTTTTAATATATCAATAATGTAGCATTTAATATTTCCTACATACCTACTGGATTTTGTTTACAGGGTACATTTATTTTTCAAGATAAATTTTTCTATTTGACTTATAGTTCACAATTAAAATTTTTACTCATTAAATACAGATTTTATCTTCATGTATAAAATGTTTTTAAAAACAGTATTTTAATTGTCCATGGCAGTTTATTCAGCCAGATGGGTGGTTGGACAGATGTTTATGTATAAACATTCTTTGTTTTCTGTTTTGTAGAATATAAAAGATTAAATACAAAATATTCCATAAATATGGATGTACAGTATTACTGGCTAGAGTGCAAAAAGTGAAAGGTACTATGGTAAAAACGTTTACTTTATTTTAAAATTTATAAATAGTTCCAAAATGAAGTTACTTAAATATTCTGTCAGGGTTTTTAATTTGTTTGTTTTGGTTCAATTTGGGGGTTTTTTGTTGTTGTTGTCATTATCATTCTGTGGGTTTTTTGTTTGTTTAATTTTTAATTCGGTACCACGGATCAAACTTAAGACTGTGCACTTACGAGGCAGGCATGGCACCACTTAGCAAAATCTCCAACCTCTCAATTTGTTTTTTGAGACAGGGTCTTATGTAGTCCACTCTGGCTTTGAACTCACTACATAGCCCAGTGTGATCTCAAACTTCTAGTGTGCCTGCCTCAGCCTGAATCTTGGGATTACAGGTGTGTGCGGTCAAGCCTGTCTTTAAGTAGGCTTACTGAAAATGGATAGAAAATTGTGTTTTTGGCTCTTTGACAGTGAAAGATAGTAATAATAGGAAAATAGGATATAATAATCAGCTCTGAATGTTTTGTTTTTAGATTTCCCTCTGACAAGGTTAGCATTTTTTCTTTAAGATAAAATTGATCTTGGTTTAGGTAAGTATTTGGACTCAAACTCCAGGTGGGATTTTCAGTACTCGGTGCATTTTTTTAAGGGCCCATTCTGATACTCCTTTCTCTCTCTTTTTTTAACTTAAAATTTCACAAAAGTTAGATCTCCCAGTAAATATTTCTCAAATCCTTCCAATGGGATTCAGTTTGTACACATGTTTCTGATGAGGTCACTGCTTGTTATTGTGATACAGAAAAGCCTGTGTCTATTTTAGGCATTTACTGTACATTTCTCCCGAGAAAAGAGTGAGATCGTGTCATCTCATGCTCCCCATCCGCAGGTCACTTCCTGTAGAAATATGGACTAACTTAAACCTCGTGAGTACTGATCTGAGCATCTCTTGCAGCCTCTAGTATAAGAAACACATCCTGGGATTTTATAGTAGCTATGGAATTAATAGAAGGCGGGAAATGAATTTTTATTTCCTGAATTTGTGTGTGCATTATTATTTTATAAAAAGTAATTGTGATCCCTTTGTAATCCTTTCTAGAAGGAAGAATGGGTACTTTTCAGTCATCATGTAAGCCTGGGGTCTTCAGCTTGGCCATAACAGCCTTGACCTCCAAAGAATTTCATAACAGTGTATATGTATAGTTGTAAATGGTACCATACTGTCCTGTAGCATTTAAATAAAATAGTAACTCTCTTTGCTTAGCTAACATATTTAAATATCTAATAACAGTGCTTTCCTGTCTTGTCTGTTGATACTTGGTTTTCTACTCTTTTGCAAATATATTGATCTTAATATCATTAGTATTTTCCAAATAAATTGAGGATACAATATATGGGATCTTAGCTGTTTTAGTTTTAATTGACTTTTTAAAAGTTTTGTTTTTTTGGGGGGTAACATAAGTTTTGTTCTTGTAAAAGTTAAAAAGTACTGACAAATGCAATACCACAGGTATCACTCACTTAATGAAATAAACATTTTCAATAAGGAAATTTATCAAGGATTATCTGTTTACCTGGTTTTTAATGATTTGTACTATCAAGTATGAGTTTTATATGAAGCAAAACTTTAAAAATTGAATTTAAAAAATTTAAAGCTTTTTAATAAAACACTAACCACACTACTAACAGTACTAACAGTACAAGTAATTAATATAAATTACCAGTTCTCAGTGTCTCAAAGTTAAAATTTAACAAAAAATAATAATAATAATAATAGGCAGTTTCTAAATTTCAGGAGCAGCATTCCCAGTATTTTTGTGTGTACTTTGTCTTAGAAGTAGGGTGAAAATAAGTTAAGCTTTGGCTAGCCTCAGATTGCATTGCAGTTTAATTTTAATTCTAAGTTAATGGTAAATTTTTTTCTATTTGCTTCATTTCTTGAGTTAATAGGTTATATATATTTCTAGATTTAATTAGCCTAACAATGTCCAAGTGTATTAACTTATTTTTTGGTTAAGAGAAAGTAATAGAGTAAAACTCAAGGACTGACCAGAGTTTTAATTGCTCAAGGATAGTTAAAAACCTGTGGGTTATGCCTAGATTCCTTATCTGACCTCATACTTTGTTGGCCATTTGACTGGTGTCTTTATTAAGAAAGTTTTAAGAGCTGGGGATTTAGCTCATTGGCCCCACCACCTGCCTCGCAAGCACAAAGACCCAAGCCCAATCCCTGGTACAAAAAAAAAAAGAAAGTTTTAGTTATTGGAAGAATTGAGACAGAACAATTAGAACAAGCATGGTTTACTGATAAAACAATTACAAGAGATAAGATCACAACATTCTTTCATTTACCTGAATTTTAATGTGACCTCTGTTAAATAGGTTAATTTGTACCTGGAAGTGAATTTTAGTTAAGTGAGAAATACCTGTTGTTTGCTTTCTGATTATTAATATACCCATAGAATAAAATTATAGTTCATGAGTCTTTAAACCTTTTTATCACTAGTAACATTTATAAATATTTATTGTGTGTGTATATGTGTACGTACACACACACACACACACACACACACACACACACACACACACAACATATACATGGTTTTTCCCAGGTGAAATTGAGAGACTGACTTATTGGAATAATATTACATGGAGAAACTTGGGTACTAACTTTATAGTCTTAGAATAGAACTTTTATTTAAAAAGAAAAAAAGTTGATGCTCATCTTTCTATTGAAGTATAATGAATTGCAATTTTTTATTTCAATAAGCTGTTTTTTTAAAAGTTTAAGGATTTCCAATTGTAGACTTCTAAAAGTCAACTGTTTTTCTTCATTAAAGTTTCTGCAAAATGATTTATAAAAAGTTATGAATAATGCAAAATATTTTATTGGTTAATGCTGCTTAGCAACTTCTTATTTATAAACTTTAATTCCTTAATTTTACAATACAGACATCTAATATATTTACAAAATAAGAATACAGTTCTTATTTTTAAAATGAGAATCATTAAATTGGGATTTGGCCAGAATATTGATGTTTACTTTAAAATTTAATTTGAATATCTTTAACTTTTTCACTTAGAAAAACAAGACTCAAAAGAAGAAGAAAAAATACTGTACAACTTTGTTCTCAATTAAGCCAGGCCAGGCCAAACAAATATTTAAACTAGTCTGATAGTTCCATATTTTTTCTTTTCTTTCCTTTTACCAACATATACCTATAGAAAGAACCTCTCATTGAAAAATGTTCCTGGCAACTTGTTCATCACTTTACATTTTTATTATTTTAATACTGACTGATGCTTCTGAAGTTATTGGTCCCATGCTAGTTTTGTGTTTACATATATAGTATTAAAAGCATTTAAGATAAATGGAAGCTATGTAATTTTTATAAAAATATTAAATGAGTTACTAAAACAAAATTCCATTTATCTTTCCTGCTAAATAGGTTTAATTGGAGTATCCCCTTGGCATAACATTCTATTTCTACAGTATTAAAACAGTGTGTTAAGTAAATTTTGAATTATCTGACATCATAGAAGAAGAAAGAACCTAATGAGGCCAAATTCAGTTTTATAAATAATTTAGTGAATTTATTTTGTATACATAGACTGACTCTGAAAGCCAAGAAAGTAACTGATTGGTTCTACATTATATATTTTAAAAACAAAGTACAGTGGTACCTTGGTTCATGAATGCTTTGGTTTGCAAACAGAAGCATTTGTCACATTTTTTGTTTACAAACTCTGCATTGGATGACAGACATGACCATGACCATCTTTTCCAGAATTGTGGAACTTTGAATCAAGTTCATGAACTGAGGTACCATTGTATTCCTAAGTATATCACAATATTTTTGTTCTTGAAAGTACTTATATTAAATCTGATTATAGTACATCTTTCTAAAAATAATGTGCTTGACCTGCTTTTATATGGTAGAGAATATTAAAACAGTTAAGATCCTTAGACATTTCTTCATGGAAGTTTTTCATTGAATTTAATCATGAGATGAATAAATGTAGCTAGTTATGAGGAATTCTGTGAAGTTTTATACCCAGTCTTAAATGTAAAAGCAAACTATGAAAACCCTGTTTGTATAGACTGAGCAATCTTACAAATTCCCATGATCAAGATTGCATTTTGGGGCCACGGATTTTGCTCAGTGGTTCTGCCACCTGCTTCATAAGTGCAAGGTCCCAAGTTTGATCCCCGGTACCAAAAAAAAAAAAAATTGCATTTTGTGTTCTGTTTTTTCCAAAACTAGAAAGATGACACGTAAAAGATATGCATAAGAATAGAATTGTACCGCTCCAGAGATCTTAATTTACTACCTGGACTCGAGCCATCTTAGGTGACTACCCTTCTGTAGCAATAGTTATAACATAGCACATTAGCCTTAAATGATAGCTACCTTCTACCCTGACTTACTTTCATTATCTATAAAAGTGAGAGGGAAGTTCTAATTTGTAATCTTTTAAACTTGAGTTTTGCACATGTTTAAGTGGATGAAAAGTAGATCTGTCCTATTAATCCTAACAGAAACTTTACCTCTGTGATACCATTACTTTTAATAGTATTAGTAAATTTGTTTGTAGATAAGTATTCATAGGGCCCAACAAGTCTTATGTGTTATACAAATCAAAATATAACCACCATTTATGTAGAATTCATTTTTAATGTAGTAATCTGTGACATGAATTGCCTTCCCAAGTAGTTGCTGTAGAATGCATGCTTTTTAGCCCAAAATACACAAAATTTCTGTTTGTTCCTGGAAACAGGTTTCTGAATTCAGTTTAGGGAGTAGAGAGTGCCCTGGAGGATAGTCTTAATAGGTTGGGAGAGCACTTTATATGCAATCAGATTTTACTCTTAAAAGAATCTTTTAGTTAAAGTCAGAATTTGAGAATTTTTGTAAACAAGTAAAGACAAATATTTATATGGATTTGTAAAATGAAAATGTAAAGCATATATCAATAGTTTAAATATTTACAGACGTTTTCTTTAACATAGATTCATGTAAAGAATCTTAAAACTAATGTGTGCTTTAGCTTTACTGAAGTTCATTTTAAACATATTTGTTTAGGTTTTACCGCAATCACTGCAACCAACCCCATTTGGCTTATAAAGACTCGGTTACAACTTGATGCAAGGTATGTTAAGTTTTAAAGTGGATATAGTTAATCCTTTCTATAAATTTATATTAGTAAAGCCTGGTATCTCACCATGGTTTTCCCTTCTTACCTCTTCCTGTAAATTTGTTCTTCTGTTTCATTTTTTGTTGAAATTTGGGTCTGCCATTTGAAGCAAAAATGGTAATAGTTGACAAAGTGAAACTTTGCAAATGAAAAATGTGTATTATGTATTGCTTTGTTTTCTGTCTTTGTTTTGAGATAGCATCTCACCACGTTGCTCAGTCTGACCTTGGACTCAGGATTCTCCTATGTCAGCCTTTCTGGGTAGCTTGGATTATAAGAATGTACCACCATGCTTGGCTGTGTATTATTTCTTAAAAGAAGGGGGAAAGTCTGTAAGTCATCTTTTCATTGTTAGAAGAAAATATATGACATATACAACGTAAAGGAGACGGGGTTTATTTTGGCTCACTTTTAAAGGTTTTAATCCATAGTTTGATGGCTCCAAGGCAGAAACAGAATGGCAAAGGAAGGCTACTCCCCCTATGGCTGCCAGGAAGCAGGAGGGTTGGAAAGAGTCAGAGAAAAAGGGCAGGGCTGGTAATGAGCTTTACCCTTCAGATGCACTCCCTCCAGTCTCCAGTGACCTGCTTCCTCCTAATAACTCATTCAGCTATGAACTTAATGGATTGATCCATTAATGAGACTGGCACCCTTGCAATCCAGTCACCTTCCAAAAGCCCTACCTCTGAACATGATAGTTGAGGGACAGAGTGTATTAACCTAACCCAACAAGTGACATTTTGCCTTACATGAATGCTTATAATTGACCTCCCAACAGCTAAAGAAGTCGCATGGTCAGATAGTCTAGAGTGAATCTTTGAGAATCATTGCTCAAATTAATTGACCTCAAGTATCCTTGGGCTGGAGATAGCACTCTGTGCATGGGGGTGGGTGTCTCTCTTTGTGTCTGTTTCTTTACATTTCCATCTTTTACCTCAGCTTTACAAGAGTGAGATTTCATTCATTCAGAACTGTGGAGCAGATACTGCTACATGCTGGAGATAAAACAGGAATCAGTAGGGACCAACTTGAAATGGAATACATCAAGGAGTGGTTTGTTTGCCCGTATTAAGCAGAGGAATAGTGGAAACCCTAGGGGATCAGAGATACAGGATCTTGGGCATACTCTGTGGACTGAGAAAAGCAGAAGCATTGCAGCAACTATCTGATATGTTACAGTAATATTAATGTTAATAGTTTTGGACTCTCTTAGGCTTTTAATCTGGAGTAGGCTCAGTGTATGACATATTTCTACTGTTTTTGTATTTTGTGATATGATAAGTATTGTTATCTCCTGTAGGCTATAAATAAAAGTAGGTCATTAACAATTAATTATGTCTGATTAAATATCTTCTTCACATTTTGTCAAGTTGAGCTATATGCTGGTTGGAGAGTTGAAAAGAAAGTTCTAGCCAGGGATTTAGCTTAGTGGCAGCACATCTGCCTTGCAAGTGCAAGGTCCTCAGTTCTATCTCTGGTACCGCAAAAAAAAAAAAAAAAAAAAAGTAAAGAAAGAAAAAGGTCTAATTGTTTCATCTAGACTAGTTAGTCCTTTTCATGAAATCTTAAGTGTTACAGCAAAACTTAATTTATCTAAAAGCCAAAGATCTGAAAAGTAATGGTAGATAAAACTTAACTCAAGAGTTAAAAGGTATGATATGCTAGCCCACATTTTACTATTGTAAAACCATAACATTGAGATCAAGAATAGAGCTGATGTGTTTACCTGTCACTCTTGAATGCTCGTATCTTTTAACTTTCTTGTAAAGATCTCTGATGTCAGAAAATAGTTACAGTTGGTTACATGGATCATTATACTAAATAAGTATTCAGTAACTAAAGAAAATCATTAGTTCATAAAAGTGGAGGAGCCTGTAAGTTATCAGGTGGACCTTTTAATTGTTTCAGTTGGTTATGTCAGAAACAGGTTAAATATGATTTATATTAGGTAAATTTTCTATTTCTTTCCTTGAGGCAGCATTTAAGCTCATTTCTCTTAGGGAACATTTTGTTGGGGGAAATAACATGTTACAGTTGATTTGTATCCTGTAAGAGTAGCTACTGCACTATTAAGTAACACTAAGGGAATTGTATTGGGAACAATACTAAATGAACACTTGGTAACTATACAGGTTCTCATTCATTATTCATCAGGATACTGATATGGCCACTGCTTTTAAATAGTGATAGAAAGTTTGATTTATATTTGCCCAGTCACTTCTGAGGGACAATCTTGGTAGAGATGGAAGAACTTCCAGGCTCACAGAAATTCAGTTAATCATACTCCTTGCTTTATTGTGTACTATCATAATTAGTGTCTCCATCATTGTTTTTATGTTATTAAATGCAAAGAAATTCAACTTATTTTGAACTGGAATTAGTATAGTGTAATGTGAAGATCTTTTTGTACTTGTTTTGTTTTTACCTTGAGCTGCAGCCAGAGTGTAGAGCTAAAGGAGTTTGTTGGTTATCTCTATTACCTAAACCCATTAGGAGGGTGTGAAACTAAAGAATCAGTGTAGTGTATTTTGCATTCAGTAAAATAAACTGTTTACATGTTATCTGATGAGTGTGACAAATTTGGGACCAAAAATAAATACAGGAATACATGTTATTTTTAAAATTCTGATTTCAGCTGAATGTGGTGGCGCATGCCTGTTATCTCAGCACTTAGGAGGCTGAGGCAGGAGGAGTCCGTGATTTCGAGGACAGCCTACACTACAAAGTGAGACACTGTCTCAAAAAAAAAACAAATTCAAAAATAAAAAAATGCAATTCTGACTTCACTTTGAGTGAAGACCATATTTTACTAGAGTGACTTTAAAAATCTTCTGCTTAAAACCCCTGTAGCAATTAACGTCAATAACATTTTCCCTTTTTGCCCTCCAGGAACCGTGGGGAAAAGCAAATGGGTGCTTTTGAATGTATTCGTAGAGTGTATCAGACAGATGGACTTAGAGGATTTTACAGGGGCATGTCTGCTTCCTATGCTGGCATATCAGAGACTGTCATCCATTTTGTTATTTATGAAAGTATAAAGCAAAAACTACTGGAATGTAAGACTTCTTCTATGATAGAAAATGGTGAAGAGTCTGTGAAAGAAGCATCAGATTTTGTGGGAATGATGCTTGCTGCTGCCACCTCAAAAACTTGTGCCACAACTATCGCATATCCACATGGTAAGGGAACCTGATCTGTGGGAGCAAATACTTTGACACAGAAACACTTTCCTGTTCTATCTGATGTCCTGCAGCTTACAGCTTGTTTAATTTTACTTAATTCCAATATAAAAAAACAGTAGTTCATAGAGTAAAGGCTGGATAAGAAGGTCAGTATATGCTGTCATATATCACAGTAGCAGTCACACATGAGCTCTGGAGCCTGATAGTCACCTTCTAACCCTGAAGTTAAATTCAGCCAAGCTTAACCCTAGCTAGTAACTGTCCTTTCGGCAAGCTTCTGTTTTTGAAAAAGTATGTATGTAAATGTAAGTGCTCTAGGTATATTAGAGCATAACCAGAATAGTCTTCATTTTCAAATGAGAAACTTGAGGAAAAAATGTAAAAAGTAAATAACTTGCCCAAGGTCACATTAGTAGTTGAAGCCAAATTTAAGTCTAATTCTGAAGGCCAAGCTATTTTATATTATTTTATTTTGACAATTATATTTTATTTCTTTCATTAAATTTTGTATTACTAGTCTCGTTAGTAACTGAAATCACTGAAGAACTTATATACCGGGGTTTTTGGTAGCTTTTATTTTAACTTGATTTTTTTATATATGTTTTTCTTTTAATGTAAGTATAAGTAACATGATGTTACTAGAAGAAGCACTATTGATAAAATTTTGGAGTTAAGTATATAAATGGCATGGATCTTTAAGATAGAACAGGAGATTTCCAATAAAAGCTTGCATTTTCCATAGGCTGCTTTAGTTCGTCACCCCAGCACCATAAAGGGTACTGTGTTGGGGGAAAAACTGAGAATGAATGGATAAAGAGCAGTTAATTTTTAAATAGAAAACTCTTGATTCTTTATGTAGGCCTGTTCCTCTAAATGGCTGAAACCTCTCTGGAACTTCAATTTCTTTTTCTTTCTGTTTTGTACATTAAACCCGGGACCTCACACATGCTACTCTACCACTAAGCTTTATCCCCCCACTCAGTTTCTTAACATTTAAACTGGAGATTGATCTTGAAAATCCCTTCCACTATTAAAGTGTTACTATTTTTTTACTTATTTGATTCTTATCATTGATTTTATCAGTGACAGCTAGGGTCCGAGACATCTTCAACTTCTTCGTCCACACATTCATTGTTTTATGTTACTATATGTGGACTGTTGCAAGTACATTAATAACATTTTCTTTGCACTGTTTGCTTTTTTTAAAAAAAAATATTTTCTGTCACTGTGTCACGTGTTCATCTTTAATACTACTCACACTTCCTCCTTCATACTTTTCCCCTTGTCAGATCTATTTTCCCTTGTGTCCATTTATTTTATATATAACTGTTACTTTTGTGTATATGATTTTGGCTATATTAGAAATTAGCTGTTACTATAACGTGACTACTTTCAGTAAGCTGTACATTAAAAAATCATTTATCCTGAGCTACTTATGTACTAACAAATGTGGTATACTGAGTATGATTAGGAGAGTATAAAGAGATCAATAATTTTTAAGTTGATTTTATTTCTTTCCTAAACAGAAGTTGTAAGAACAAGATTACGTGAAGAAGGAACAAAATATAGATCCTTTTTTCAGACACTGTCTTTGGTGGTTCAAGAAGAAGGTTACGGGTCCCTCTACCGTGGTCTAACAACTCATTTGGTGAGACAGATTCCAAACACAGCTATTATGATGGCCACCTATGAATTAGTGGTCTACTTACTCAATGGATAGCAGCACCGGCTGCCACACTGCAAGAGGGAAGACCAAAAGATTACAGTGGATCATGGAATATTGGAGTCAGCACAGTAGACAGAAAGAATAGTAGTTTGGGAACATGTCCCACAGCTATGCCCAAGTGGAAGTTTGGTTAAGATAGCCACATCACATTACTTAGTCTTTCAGTAATGTTGAAAAACCTTAGCCACCTCTAAAGGAAACGCCTTTGGAAAAATTGCCATTTCTCTACCATGTCCACCAGATACAGTTGTGTTTTATTGACATATAACATTGAGAGTGTAGTGTTTATTCCATGAGCATTTTTCCAATCTTCTAAACAAAGCCATCCTTAAATATATACTGTACTGTAGGTAACATAAATATCTAACTTGACTTTTAATTCCTGTAATACTGTAAGGTAACAATAATTGGTAGTTACTCTCAGTATTCCCATTTTGCTGAGATGACTTGGCACAATATTTTAATTTAATTATTTGGCACCATTAATTGCTGTTTTTGACAACCAAGGAACTGTATTCTAAATATATTGTGTATTAAAATGTTAGAGTCTCTTCAGCTAACAGGTGCTTGATGTTTGGCACAATGTAGGCTTCACATTGTTACCATATAAAACTCACATCATAATACTTTGCATATTAAGAAATTAACCAATAAAATATTGATTCTTGACCATTTCAGTGACTTGAATGTGCCCTCTTCTGTATTGTTATGGAACATGAATGAATGCATTTATCTTTTTAGTAATTTACTAGTTTTAAACATGAATTATCACCTATCAATCGAGGTATTATTTTCTTAAATTATAAAAATTTACTGCTTCTTTTTGCTTTACATTATGAATTTGGACCTGAATTTATTTCCAGGTCAGTATAGATTACACTTATTTGGTAGAGAAAGTGGTAATTTTCAGTTTGACCCTTAAAATTTTTTGAAGGTGATTATTAATATCTGGGACAAAATAAATATTATAGAAGAGGGATCCTCTATCTAATTCAGCAGGCAGTGTTTTTAATTGATTTTTTTGTAAATGAACAAGGTGATTTTGACAATGAAATTTATTCTGATCTAATTTCCTGAATGGTATATCATAGAAAGATTCAGGTTCATTTGGGTTAAATGTGCTAATAGGATATAGTTTTTAAATTTTGCTGTTGAGTCATCTGTACATTTTAATACTTTAAATGTATCATATGTATGACCCTTATGAAGACGTTTGCTATAATACTGTTAGGAGACTGCCTATAGATACTGCTCTCCTGGTGTATGAGACTTCTGCAGTTAAACTCCAGTGTGTACTCATTTCAGTATACGTTAACTTCACATTTTGTGCAATGGCTTTATCTTAAGACTGACTTTTTGTGAATGCACTTTGTGGCCTTGCGGGGCAGAATTTCATGTTAAGACTTTAATATACTGGTCATGTATTAGGCAGAAACAGTATGTTCATAACATTTTTCAGAGTTCTGGTTATGTATTTGGTTTAAGATCTTAAAATGTGTTAAGTATTCTGTGTATACTGTAGTGCCACACATTATGGAAAAGCAGCAAGTCATTGCAAGCTTTCTTTACTGACACCAATGAACATTGTACCCTCTTAAATTCCCCCACCTTGATTTCCCTGTGATCAACAAAACTGGATGTTTTTGAGGTGCTCAGTTGGGAGACCAAAGGCAAATTTAGTTGTTACTTTTGGTATTATGAATATATTTTATGAGAAATTTCAGCTTTGAATTTATTGTGAGAACATTACCTCCCCCCCAAAAAAAAAAATCCCTCCCCAAGCAGATTTCTAACTTCAGTCTGTAGAGAAAGTCTCAATTTGTAATGTTTGCCTTTTCAGATGCCATTTATACTGCCTAATACAGTGCCATCTGCTTTGTGAAGATCCATAAATACTCTCCCTAGGCTTACTCATATCAGTGCCCCACAAATGATGAAGAATGATACGAAAACCAGCAGCTAAGAATCATCTTACTTAGTTACAGCAAATTCATGACAAGTGTCCTTCTGTTTGTATTTAGCAAGTAAAACTTACATTGACCTTTAGTGCATTGTATCCAGCTTTAAGTACAGTGGATCCTCGGTTATGACCAGCCTGACATACAAACAACTTGGGTTATAACCAGAATTTTAGTTTTAACTTAAGACCAAATTCTTGAATTATAACCTGATTGCTGCCACCTGTGCTTTCAGATGGTCTCAGATACTGATTTAACCCTTAAAAGAGTTCTGGAAGGAACATTATAACATCCTTGTGTGGGGTTACTTGAGAAATCCTGGGCCTCTGTCTCTCTAAGGACACAGATCTGCCTGTATACAGGAGAGAGACTTTGAAGGCTGTGTAGAGGACCCTCATCCTTCATTGATAAACTTGAGTTACAGTCAGCCCTGAGGAACGAATTGATTTTGTAAGTAAAGGGCCCACTGTGTTATGTATGTAGTAGAAGGAAAAGAGTAATTTTAGAGTTACAGATTTTATTTGTGCAGCAGCTGGAAAGGAGCAATGAAGTCTTTACTGTTTTGTTTTGTTTTTTCTTTGAACACAATCTGCTATAGTTTACAAATGAGACAATTCAAAAAAGAAAACTAAAAAGGTTACATACAGTTTGTCTCTCAAATATTTCTTTGAAGATTTAAAAATTGATTTTTTAAGAAAAATGCATACTCAAAAGTATCAGACAAACTATGGGTTGTATTCATTTGTTTGCTATCAGATAACTTAAAATTTCTGATAACAGAGGTATCAACATTCCAGATTGCTATGTATTTGTGTTCTAGTTTTCTTAGAAAATTGAATTGAACTCACTCAGGTTCAAGCAGTAGATACTGAAAGTACACACTCATATAGAACACCCTCCTAGCAAATAGAACTTTTCTGTTCATAACTCCTAGAAATGGTTCCACGTCCTGAGGATTGCCAACCCTGTGATTGAGCTATAAAGTGCTTTTAATTCCAGAGGAAAAAAACTACCACTAAACCTCTGTCATGATTCCCACTGTGTAACTTTGTAGAACCAACCTTACTAGGTGAGGCCCAAACAGATCTGTAAGTCTGAAAAACCATGATAGAGCCTTTTGTCTCTTAAAACCTAAGACCCACTGTGGATGTTAGGACCAGCAGAGTTTGGGTTGTTCAGAATAAGGAATGAGGGATGGGGAATTAGCTCAGTGGTGCCATGCCTGCCACACAAGCACAAGGAGTTCAATCCCTGGCACCAAAAAATAATAATAATGTTTAATCTTTCACTAGAGTATACATTTTGGCGCTCTTACATATGTTTTTAGTCACAAAATACTGATTTGAATTTGAAGGAGTTAAGTGCTGGAAATAAATCTGTCCCTTCCTCTTCTGGAATTCTTTATATGTATCTTTTGTTTACATGCTCGTCTGCCCAAATTTAGTGTTATAGGGAACTCTTTGGGGGCTGAAAAATAACAGCCTTTTTCTCCTGTAGTATCGATCATGACTTTTGACATTCCTAAGAATATACATAATTCTTAATTATTTAAATTGAAAGAAATTTTAATAGATAAAATACAATGAGCTTACTGTCCATTCAGATCTCAATCATGTGTTTATATTTCCTGTTAATCTGTACACTAATTTTTTGCTACTCTTAACTGAAAAATCTAGTTATGTTTATATGTTATACTTTTTGAATGTGTACCCCAGTATATGTGAACAATTATGACACATAAGTCATAGCTAAATAGTGAACTTCAAAGAGTTGATAACTTTTGCCCATTCATGTGAGTTTTGCTGTTTCATTTATGTACATCGCTGTAAATTTTGTGCATTTATTTTGTATTTATGTTAACTAGCTGACTTTAAACTTGAATTGTTAAAATTCAAAAAATTAAAATAAGCTTATGAAACTAGTGATTGTTTTTTCCATTTTGTATCTTAATATTTTGGCATGGTAAGAGTAGAATCACGTTTTCCTAGAATTATCTTGTATTTAAGCAAAAATGCATTGCCATATTCAAGATAAATGTTAGGCTTGCTTATTATTTTTTTTTTAATTTTATTGAGTTTATTGGTACATTTTAGGGATACAGTACAGTTACATTCATTGTTGGGATCTTGTACCTCTACATGACAAGTCTTGATTCTCATTTTTTCCCCTTACCTCTGCCCTCCCTTCACCCCCTCCTCCTATGTATCACACCTTCCCTACAACAATGCATAAGATTCTAATAAGATTACTGACATTTAGAAATTTGAAGAAAGGAGCTAAAGGCTTGCTTATTATTTAGCAAACATTTTTGAGGCACCTTCTAGACTTAATGATATCTCTAGAAACCAAAAGGTCTTAAGTAATCTAATTCTCTCATAGTTTGTTAAGAAATATCTGTTCTTGCGTATTTTTCACAGATTTAATGATACTTAAATCCAATACTTTTCATGTATCAAATTCATTTTATGGAGAACATTTGAAAATTGAAGGGTTAATTATTAGATCAATACCCCCTCTATCTAGGTTGTGATTTTGTGTGTGTGTTTGTATAGAGACAAGATCTCCCCATGTATCCCAGGCTGGCCTTTGAACTCACTGTGTATTCTAGGCTGGCCTTGAACCCATGATGATTCTCCTGCCTCAGCCTCCAAAGTGCTGGGATTACAGGTGTGTACCACCATGCCTGGCTTGTTGTGATATTTTTAACATGCAATTTTGTTTTAATTTTAGATTTTAGGAAAATTAGAGATATTAAGTACAGAGTTGAGAACTTGTGAGAAATAACCAGATTAATCCATATGTGTTGGGTTGAAACACGTGACATAGATAAGAGTACTATGTAATACCCATCCTCTTTACATTTTGTTGTATTTTAGGTTTCTCTGAATTGTGGCTAACATTACTTATCTTACAGGTAAGGAAACCAGCACAGATTTATTATGTTCCCTATCTCAAAGTTAATATAAAAACTGAAATTCTTCTTAGTGGCATTCTGCACTGAATACTAGCAAAATAATGGTTGAGGTTGTAGCTCAAGTGTCCCAAATTTAATTGTGCTTATGTTCATTACCAAATATCAGGATAGATTAAATAGAGAAGGAATCTAGTTCATAATACTTTGATCATTCAAATGTAACATCTCTACAGCTCTTAACAGGCAGAGAAGTAAAGTATAGTCAAATTCTCCCCCCGCTTTTCTGCACCACATTGACCATCTAGCTGCCTTAGTGTTGCATCAATTCAGAATTTATGCTCCTAGATTACTGTGTTACCAGCAATGTCATGTGATACTCCAGATTTGATGAATAGTTCATGTTAATCACAACAGGATTTTTGGACTTAGGTCTTTTGAATCGTAGTCCTGTGGTTATTTATTAGATTATTCACTATAACTTGAAGACATTGAGATGATACTTTAAAAATTCTTCATTTAAAGAAAAGCTCTGTAGAAATAGGCTCAGAATGAAGCCATATAGGGAGTAATGAGAAAAAGGGCTGGATGTGTAAAGTGAGCACTGTGAACTGTCATGGGATCTAACCCTTACAGACTTTAGATTACATCCTAAGGCCAATAGAGTTTTTCACCCAAGAGTAATTAGTGACACTGTAGGAAGTCAGACTTAACATATTGAGCTCAATTTTATGTAAGGTGCCCTTGATCACACTATCTGAACCTCAGGAATGTCTGAAGATGAGCTAGCCCTGTTAAGTTACAGGGGTTAATTCTTTTAGATATGCAGAGAAACAGCATTTTAACTATGATTCGAAAGAGGTTTAAAACTAGGCTGATACAGATGGAAGCATTTCTTGGTAAAGCAGATAGCAAAATTTAAGCCCCAGTAAGAAAGAATTTGTGTGTGTGTTCCTTTTTAATTGACTCAAAAAGTAATGAGACTTTGAAAGTAGAAGCAGATTCAGGATTCTAAGCCTAGTCTTAACTCAGGAGTTTACACCTAACCTAACAATTTAGTATTAGACCCATTGTTTCCCAGTCCCTTACTCTTTCAAAGCCACCTAATAATCCCTCAAGTCTGTCAAGGATAAATAGCCCATTTTCTTTTCAACCACTACTTCTGAGTCTTAGCTTTCAAGATTCTCCAACAATCCCTTGCATAAACTGAACTGAGGTGTCTTAGTAGCCCAGGTTATGTAGTCAGTACGCTTTTCTCAATTGCATGCTCATTTTTTATCTTCCCCACCTCCAAAACAATATGCATTTATCTTGTGAATGAAAATGAACCATTACCTCTACACCAAAGGTGAATGATGGGTCTGAAGATGAGAGTGCAACTGCAAACCGTTTAGGAGAAAATTCCTTTCTAGGCAAAGATTAGAGTTTGCAAAAAGCACTAACCTAGAAAAAATATATATATTAAAAGTAAAAATGCATCTCCAGAACAGGAATATTTACATCTTCACAATCATTAACTTGGAGGGGCAAAAAATTAATAATTGAACCATGTCACAAAAGAAAAGGATTAAGCATATAGTAAGATGCTTATAGTAATAACAAACTGAAGCCAAAATGAAAACATTCTCAGAAGCACCAGTAGACTTATATCATCCCAAGGATCTTACAAGTATGTCTTTGTACATAACGGGAACGTGAAATGATAACACCAATTTGGAGAGGTACAAGTTTTAAACTTTTAAATGCACCTCCTACCCCAGAATTTTTGCTTGGCTGTGGGAAACAGTGTTCCCAAGAAAAATTAAAACATCCACAAATGTTCACAGCAGCTTTAATAAGAGTGGCTATCGAGACAGCAATTCGTGGTGGAGTATGACAGTGAAACAAAACGGATTACTGGAAACATGGAATCTCAAAAATTAAAAGAAGCCCAGACCAAGTATATATATTCTTCCATTTACATGAAGGCCAAGAACAGGCAAAGCTAGTGATAGAAGTCAAATTAGTGTTTAGCTACGGAGTGCGGAGGGAGCTAACGGGGCAGAGTTGCACTTCTGAAGTAAGTGATGGAAATGATCCATATTTTGATCCGGGTAGTGGTTTACTGTATATATGAAGGGCGAATGTGCCTCTCTGCAGTTATAAGTCAGGCCTGGGATAAGTTTGCCCCCCTTCCCTCGACGTGTCAAGGCTTCCTTAGCTCAGCACTCCCTCTCAAGCACCTCAGAAATTCTCTTTGTTCTCAGTTTTGTCACCTCCCCACCACATGTAAATGAGGTGTAACTCCGTGGGCTGAGCTTGCTATCTGTAATGCCTAATAAACAACGGATTTGCTGAGCCCATACGACTTGTACGCTTCGTGACTCCGTAAGCCCCCCTCCCCTCTGGAAAGTATAACCCGCCCTGTTCAACCCCAAAGGGGGGTCAGTCTCTTAGTGTGTGAACCCAGACCCACTGGTGCCAAGAATAAAGATTGTTCTACACTTCGCCTCTGAGACTCCTGGTGTGACTTCCATCCTCCTGGAAGAACTGTGGCATGCAACAGAACTTTCTGCTTCACATGCAATGTGAAAATTCATTGTTTCATTTTAAACTTTTTTTTAAAAAACGTAATGCAAAAACTTGGAAAACAAGTACAGGTAAAAGCTACAGAATTAAAGACATAAGATACTGAAGTTATAAAAATATAGTTCAAAATAAGCATAGTTTGCCTGTTTTAAAAGAAACAAAATAGCCAAGCGTGGAGACCCACACCTGTAATCCCAACACTCAGAAGATTAGGACAGGAGGATTGCAAGCTCAGAGCCAGTCTGGGCACCATGGCCAAAAAAAAAAAAAGCCTTTAAAGATGAATATCTGGTGTCAAGCACTGTCCCTGAGAAAATTTAATAGCCCAAAACAACTAGACTTTTGAGGCATTGCTCGCAAAAATTCTCCAATAACTTCCTGTTCCCTTCCCTCACCCTAAGCCCGAACAAACTCAACTATTAGAGCTGAATGTAGACTAATCTGAGGAGGCTGGTGCTGGGGTAAATGGCCAAGAGCAGTTCTGTTGGGTCTGGGGCTAGAGATAAGGGGAGGCAGCATCCTG